CGCCGCCTCCCCCCCCCCCTGCCTCTCCGATGGCAGGGCTGGGGTACACACGTCCCGCTCTGCCCCTTGGATGTGCTGGGCATCCTCCTCCCCGTCCCCCAACCATCAGTCCCCCCTCCCCTCCCTCCCCTGCTCCTCCCAAGGCTGTTTGGACTGCAGCTCCCTGCCTCAATTAGCAAGCGCTCCCTCTCTGACTAATTACTTTGCTACTGTCTTTCTGCATTATTATTCTAATTATTATTAATTATTACAATCTTCTCCCATTCCTGCCGCGCTGTCTGCGGTCAGAAGAGAACAACACACGCAGACCCTCTTGTTACGGTGATTTATTGGTGGAGCTCCCCGGCCGTGTTTAACACCCGCAGGCTCTGAGGTGCACTGATACACACGTGTGTGTGTGTGTACACCTCAGCCCAGAGCCCCCGTGATCCCCCTTTTTCCCCCATCCCACTCTTTTTCCCATTCCCCCCTTTCCTCCAGGCTTTCCTGCTCTGCCCCGTTCCCACTCTCCGGTGCTGCGTTTGCTTTAGCCCTTTGCTATTGCACCTCCCGGGGTTTTTCGTGTCCCCCTCAATCACACTTCACCCCCCTCCTTCCTCCCATCCCAGGGTGATGTGGGGTCTTGCTCCCACTGGGGCTCCCCAGCCCTGACTGCTCCTCAGTTCCCCGGCTGAGCCCATGCCCCAGGCATCACCTGGCGATGTTGGGCAGGGAGACAAGCCCTTTCCTGCCCCCAAAACCCTTCTCAGCCTCCTCCTCCTCCTCCTCCTCCCCTTCGGAGCAGAGGGGGCTCAGCCCCAGGACCAGCTCAGACCCCGTCTCATAGGCAGCCCCCACGAAGCCCTTTCCCCTGGCCAGGCGCCTGCTCCGGGACCCGGCTGCCAACCCCCCAGAAACACCCTCCCTGCCTTCGGCCCTTTTCCTCTCTCCCCCAGTACATCCCACCGGCCAGGCCAGCCCCTCCAGATGCTTCTTGGAGGCCAAAACCCCATAAATCAAAACTCTGCCGCTCCATCGTGGGCAATATCTTATGTAAAAAGGTGTTTCCAGAGAGCACCGAAGGCTGGAGAATCCTATTACGAGGCACACTATTAATTATAAGGAGTCAGCCCAACCTACTCCAGCAATTTTTTATCCCAGGTCCAAAACCTGATTACTTTCCACCTTCTGCAGACCTTCCCCTTCTGGAAAAAAAAAAAAAAAAAGGGGGAAAAAGGTCAGAAGAAAAAAAATAGCATTGATGTTTGCCCAACAGCTTTTGAAAGGAAGTTTATTCCCAGGACTGATGCTGCTCTGCCGGGGCTCAGGGGGAGCCGGGAGCTCGCGGTGGTGTTTCCCCAGCACGGTCCCACGGGGGTTATTGCTGGTGGTGACATGGGCATGACCGTGGGGCTTGAGGTGACTCCCCAAGCACCCCAACAGGGAGCTTTGTCCCCTCCTTGCCTTGACAAGGGAGCGCTCGGGCTTTGGGTGCCAGCTGAGGGGAATTGGGCTTTGGATGTCCCCGGCAGGGACATGGGAGTGCGGGTTATCTGGGGGACACCCCGCCCGGGGCTGGGCATGGCCCCAGCTGGCAGGGGGGCACCCGTGGGGCACCTGGCGC